GTTGTCATTCATTCGTCTGCCATGGGTAGTGACTTGTCATTTGAAGAGACTGAAAGCACCCTCATCACAAAGCACTGTCAAGGCCAACAGCCAATCTGCAGTAGTGCTGTGGGAAGGCAGCCAACCACTTCTGTGAAGAGCTCTAGAAAGTAGTACATCCTGATGAAACGAAAGCTTTTGGACACTTTAAAAAATGTATTGCAAGATTGCAAAAACAGCCCCTGGACGTCAAAGATAGGGCACTTTGAGAACTCTGTTAGGACCCTTGGCCACATCTCTATTTTTTTTGCAGTAATGACTGAGACAGCATGGTTCACAGGTAGAATTCTTAACCCCTGCGTAGGAGAGACCTTGCTTCGCTGTAGATGCACCTCCTGCACAGCTAAGACCCTCAAGTCAGTGGAAGTATGGGTTGCTGATGCAGGGAAAGCATTTTCGCGGAACTTCCAGATGAAGATGTACTTGGAAGAAAAGCCTGGCGATCTTCGAAGTCAGCCGGTAAACACCATGAAGACCCGAGAACAGGCCAGTCGGCACCTGACTGGACTGTTTCTCACTGTTGTGCACAGACTGCCATGGGTTGGGGCTGACCTGATGGCAGCCACCTTAGGCTATTATAAACCAGAGATAGAGGAATTCTAATATTCTTCATCTCAGAAGAGAGGAATCCCCCAGTTGGAAAGAACTGGTGCTATCATACTCCAAACTTGGTAGTTCGGGCAGCCTGGTTCCAGGGTCTCAGACCTACGTGCAGTGCAGCTTTTCTGAGGGGCTGCCCCTGGAGCAGGATGGAACTGTGCCGAGAATCTGGTCGCTGAAGCCTAAGTACTCCAACGAGGTAAAATTTACCAATTAAGAAATTAAAGTATCAATAGTGATGTTGAAATATTTAATAGCCTTTTTTTTAAAGCCAAAATAACATGATTCTTACAAGTGATGTGTGACATACACAGGTGTTAGCTTTTGAGAAATGCAGGCGATACCAAAAGATATCACAGCACTGAGGTATTTTTTTATTCTTAAACTTGCGCAAGGAAACAGGCAGGGTCTGATTATTTTAACTTCCATTTATGGGGGAAAATGCTACTGCTTGGCTCTTTTCTATAACTTCGGGTTCAGAATACATTACACGAGTGTATGGGGACAGCACTGTATACAGTACAGGGCATTTGAAAAAGCTGTGCACACTGTCACCTGGGAAATCGATCATACAGCAAGAGGCCTGCGTGGAAGAGGTAGGCTACAACACATCCTAGCTTACTCCAACAGCTTCAGAAAGTAGGAAGAACACGTGACCCGTCAGGAACACCAAATGAAAAGGGCAATATTGGATCCACATATTTTATATGGTGTCTTTCCAAGCATACCCACACCGACTCGGGACTTGTATAAGACGGAGTGGAATGGCTGAGGGGTTGGTTTGAACCGGGAACCTTTCTGGTAGCAGTTAATCACATAACCACCTTGTATAACTTGTGGAATCGCTGGAGAAGCTAATATAGCACCATTGATAGGTTCCTTATCTCTCCTGTTAATGTCCAGTCCAATTTCAGAATTTTGGTAGAAGGCAAAACCTGTTAAGATCTGTGTTTCATTTTGGTAAATCTGTTTGTATTTCAATGAAATGTTTAAGGGGGGGAAAAAAAGGCCATCCTTGACTCAGGAAAGATCAGTTTGCCATTTCCAGTTTCCTCCCTCAGGGAAGTCAGCCAAGAGCTTCTTGAATTTATGTAAAGCCAAGAACCAAGCAGTAGGATGGGTAGTGTGCAGCACACCCAGAACCACACAGAACACAGGCATTTGGCAAGATGTCACAACTACCAAATGAGAGCAATGATTCAAATTTATGAAGATCAACCTGCTTCCCCCTTCTGCACTCACCACTTTCAACACAGCACTGCTTTAGGCTTGTCTTTGAGCTTCAACCTTTATACAAAGTAAATGCAAACATACCAACCTCCTGAGGGCCTTTCCCCAACTCTTAAAGTAAAATACATTTTAAACTAATCTGAGTGGTCCACATGACAGTCTTGCCCAAATGTTTGTTAGAAGCGGCTTAGTCATATAACATCAACTCCAATTGCACAGCCTCCCCTTAACTTACTGGCACAGCCATCACCACCAGTGAGCTTGCCCAGGACAGGCGACTCGGACACACAATAGAGACCATTTGAAGGTTGTTTTATTAAGTGATGCCACAGTTTGTTTCTTCATAAATTTAAAAAGCATACATTTGAAAACATCACCTTCAATTTAACCCTCAGGTTGAGCAACATGTTTTTCATCATTAAGTTTAACTTGTAAATGATGTGGTTTAATTGCCACTCCCTAAGGAGGTGCTAGGTGGTGCAAAGAGATACCGCTTAGCTGCTAAAGAGAAAAGTTGGGAGGTTTAAGTCAACACAGACACCCCGGAAGAGAGGCCTGGTGATCTCCTTCAAAAAAAAAAAAAAAAAAAAATCCCAGCCAGGTAAAACCCCACAGAGGAGAGTTCTGATCCATGATGTCGCCGTGCCCAGTACTTGGTCTGTGCTGCTCTGGAGTTGCCCCAGGAACCCTGCAGTGTCACTAGATACTGATGCAAGGCGGAGCCTCGCCAGTCCTAGGCTTTCAATGTTCAAACACAACTTTGCTGGGGCTGGGGTGGAGGGTTGGTTTTATATCATCTTACAGGGTCAAGTAACACACTATGTAAAGACAACAAATTGACAAAAGCATTTGCTTTTTCTTTCTACATTTGCCAACTCTGATGTGGATGTGATAATGAGGGCCATCAGAAGCTGCCCATCACTCCCCTGATGTTTTCTAAATCCTTAACTTTTCCCAGAAATAGGCGAAGCAGGTGGCCGCCATCCTGGCCTTTGGCTGTGTTTGGGAAGTTGCACTACAAAATGTGCCCATACAGAATCAAAGGCAGCAAGTGAACATAGAGACCAGCTGGAGCTTTATGAAGCAGACTTGAAAGGAATTGCCTGCTTTTCTGACCCGAGTTTGAGATGTGGAGGGACGGCGCCCTGCAATTGGCACCCGTGTCTCTAAAGGATTACCGAACAAAACCCCACAAATTAAATATGACACTGGCATCACCTTTGACGGGATGACAACACAAAGATATTTATAAAAACACAAGTACATTTAGCCATTTTTATTTGAGAAACCCAGAGAACTGCTTTCAAAGCAATTGTTTCCTTATACCACTCCAAAGCCTTCCATAAATACTATTGTGATTGTCACTTGGCGCAGCACCTCAGTGTTTGCTGGTGTGGTCACTGAACCGTCTGTTCAAACACAAGACCCTGGTTCACTACGGAGCACTTCCTTGGGGAAACCCAGCCAGCTTAACAACACTGTTCAAAACTCAAAACAACCTGTGAAGTACTTGTTTATTTAAGAAAAATAGGTAAGGAATGTAGTGTTAAAAATGATGATATGGGGGAGGGGATATGAAAAACAGCATCAATATCTCCTAGGTCTGCTTAGCTTATTTTCTTGCGCCTTCAAAGCTGTCAAAACACCCCGAATTAAAATTCTGCCAGCAAAATCCACTCCCAATATTTCCATACGAGACATTCAAGTAAGACCAAATTAAGCATGCTTTTTTCTTTCCAGAGTAGTAGTTTTCTCAGTCCTTTCTGTGAAAAAATTATTACAAGAGCCATTCAAATGGAAACACTGAAATAATACGTCGATATTTTGGGGCACATTCAAAACACTCAAGAGAAATTCATGATGTGGTGGTGTATTCTGGATTCTCACCACCAGTCTCCTCAGTCGTTCTGTACGTCTACGTGCCTTGATGCGATGTTCCTAGACTTCTGAACGGAAACAGGCTCCTTGGTCTCTGGGTGTCCACGTAATAGGCAAGATAGGTCTTCAGTAAGGTCCACATGCAACACGGAGGAATCTACAATCTCGACGCCACCACGTTCAAATCAAAAGTCAAAAGTTCATTTGGCTACCTTGAAATCACTCCCATAAACCTACTATGGTTCACTGGATCTAAACATTTCTCAGAAATGTGTCATTTTATAATTTCACCTAAGTGATGATTTGGGGATCCTCTAGAAATAGTAAATGCCTAAGATAATAAACGTTATCAAAATGAGTAATTGCAATAAAGTGCTTGTTACATTTCAAAATGATGCTTTTCAACTGTGGTAGGTTGTTTGAAAAGTGTGTGCTATTCCTCATAGGGAGGATCCCCGGGCATGAGAGTTGCGACTTCTCACCTGTCTCAGAGCAGCAGCACTATCTTTTGGTAGGCTGACGGTAGGCACGTTAACCCATGTGCATGAGGCTATACTAGTGCTATGGCCAAAAAAAAAAATAAGGGGCGAGGGTGTAAATTAGAAAAGTGGGTCAAGTGGAAGGTTCCTAGTATCCTTGTAGTTATATACAAATATATTAAATATGCTATAAAAATAGTAGACTCTTTTCCTTTGCAGTTACTTCAGAAGCTCCCTTTAGAAGAATGCTCACCCAACCCAAAGTTGAAAGGTTTGCGCTCTCTATTCTCTATGAAAATGGCAAGTGCCCTTGTGCTGTTTCTTCTCCCCTCAACTAAGAATTCCCATCAACCTGCTCCTGACTAGACTCACTCAACAATATTAATATCCAGTGTTTATACCTTCCAACATTGACTCCCGTGGGACAAAGAACAGGGTTGTAGGCATTGGAAAGGTTGTAGGCTTGAATGAGTTTTACACAAATACTTATCAACAAACTTAGTTACTAAGGAAATGTCGAGAAAGGGAAAAGCGGAGGCAAGCAACACTAGAGTAAAATGCCTTTGTGATCCACTTTAAGAAGTTTGCACCATGAAGCACGCTGAGGGGCACTCAGGATCTCTACCTGTCTGCGTAGAGTAGAACAGGCCAAGCCGAGTTCTATCTAAGCGCCCCTCAACAGAGCTGAACTGCTTTAGAGCTCAGAACTTTAAGGCAATGACCATCATCACTTCTGCAGAATCCAGCTGACTTTTCACTATTCTGCACTGAGCTTGACAAACTACTCAAGGTCACCGGCGTCCTTTCAACTCTAGAACATTCCTGAACCAGATTTAAGTGACAAAGCAGAGGACTCCTCAAATGACCCCCATCAGTTAGGATGGAGTTCAGAGATTGAATTGTAGTACCTATTTACATGCTCACCCCAAGACCCCTCCCCCTGAAACAAACAAACAAACACACACACATACATTCACTTTTCCTCCAACATTTTCCACTCTAAAACTGGAGTACTAAGTGTCTAGGTGCTGGCTTGCTACCACCCGCAGCAGCAATTCTGTTACTTCTCATAGGTAGGTCTCCTAGTTGCCGAACAAGGCCGTGCCATGCCGTATTGCAGCAGAGTAACTCCATAGCAGCTACCATTTTCCCTTACTTCAACAGTTTCCTGCCTTCCTAAAAAGTGCCGCTCAGAAAAAATGCTTTAAGAAAACTGACTATGTGTCGAGTAAAGCAGAGGGTCAAGTACAATCTTTAAGGAGCTGAGAGGGGTTTTCGTTGGGTATCTTCATGCTGTGGATGTGGGGTTTTGACGACTTTGGTGACAGAAGCTCTGAAGAAGCAACTGCTTTTCTGCTCTTTTTTTCAACGCTTCAGACGGCGGCAGGAAAAGGTGTGAGTGGTTCTTTTAAACTTGGCCATTGCTTAAACAGGAAAAACCTGAATCACGAAGGAAACCTGTCATGTTTTCTTTCCATAGTATTTGAGGGATAGGAAATCCTCAGACTGGGGGAGAAGAATGTGAGTAAATAAACAGTCGACAGATTTGTCTTGTCTGTTAACCTAAGTACATAATAGATGTGAGTAAATAAACAGTCGACAGATTTGTCTTGTCTGTTAACCTAAGTACATAGTACTCACTGTTCACCATCTTTTAAAGAAATATGGTACTGTGATAGGAAGCCTTACAGTTCTTCATATTTGTTTGTTGGCTAACTCCTATTCCTAACTCTTACCAATAAATCAAGGAGGCACGACTCTAAGCGCTAAGTGGAATGGCATGATACGGTCAAGAAAGGCAACGTGAAGCGGGGAGACAACCGTTTTGGTACCATCTTCTACAACATCAGTTGTGCCTGCATACATGTATGTGTCTGCACACACATGCTGACAACTTTTCTTGACATACATGGGCGTGATCACGCAGCTAGGACTCCTTCAGGGAGAGCTACGGATGGTCTCGGCCGCTGCTCACAGAAGGGGCGTGCATCGGCTGTCTTTGGTGGTTTCGCTTCTGTTTCAACATTCATTTTCGGACTCCAGTGTGTGGCGGGTCCAGTTCTCCACAGAAAGATGAATGAAGCGTCCACCTCAAGGGTGATGGCGGAGAACAGAAGAGGCCGAAGGAATGACCTGGCTTTTCTCTGACCCCTTTATTGAGCAAGTCTGCGTTGTTCTTTTCACTCTTCAAAGCTTGTGTCTTAACCACTTCAACTCTGTCATAGTTAACATTTTCCTTTAGGGTCCATTTTGACTTAGGTTGTTGCCTTCCTTTCTCTCAGCAACATTTTAACATGCAAATCTGGCATTTTCCTTTGTTCGGTAGCTGTTACCAATACCATAACACGTATAAAACGCTTTTTTTTTTTTAAGTATCTAACTTCTGTTGGAATTTATTACCTTTACAATATGTTGCCACAGGAAATCTTAGTTAATGCTCAGAAAGCATACAAGTTACAACATCCTAATGTTGTAGAGAAGGCACAGCCAATTTCTAAAACTTCTTTTCTCACTGAAGGAAAATCAATTTCATGTGGAGCAAATATTTACTGGCAATTCTTAATTGATTCATTATCTTTAAAGGAAATTAACCCACTAATTTAGGGAGATAAATTTGGGATCACATTCCTGACTTTGGTAGTAGGATGTCATTTTTTAAATTTTAAATTATTCGTACCTCCAGTCCAAGAGATTCTGAGCAGTCTGCACAGGAACATAGGGTGACCACCGACACCCACACGCTGTTCAGTGTCCTAGCAGGTTTCAAAACTGCTACCGAAACCAGAAAATGAGCTCAAGATGGTGAACTATCACCTGAATTAAAATCAAGGCACTATGGGCTTTTTTTATCCCCCCTCAAATAACCCTGAATCATTTCTGACTAAAAGAAGCATTGAAATTGTGAAAGATAATAAAAAAGATTCCAACATATCTTAAAAGTTAAAATTCCCACCATTGAGAATGTTAAAAAGTGCCTAAAACGTGTTTTCTGTGCAAATTTCACTCCTATAACTGATACATTCTTGAAATTACTGTCAGGCTTGCTGAAAACCACTTATACAAATATTTCCAACAACATTAAACTATGAGATCAAAATTCCCAACCACCTAAAATAAAGCAGTGCAATCCTATTTTCAAACAAAGGTAACTGAAAACTAATGAAATGATGGTATTTCTGAATAACTTTAAAATCCTGCTGTATCAATAATTTAACCTGAAAAAAAATCCATTTCCAGCAGCACATCATGCCTCACTGAACAAACTGTGACATCACAGCTAAACTATGAGCAAGAGATTGTGCCCCAGAAAACGGAATAGAACACTACTGTGTTGTAAACAAAAGGGAAAACGGGTTGTGTTAGTTTTCAACGGTGTCAAAATCTAACGAGATGTACTCATATCTATAAGAGAGAATGCTTTCATGCAGCATACAAACTTTTTTGCTTTCTCCTTTTATCCAGACATATACATAATATTTTTACAGCATCTGTACAACAGAGAATCTGAACCCACACGACTTTCTGAGAGTAATCACTGTTCTATCACGACCAGGACAGGGAGCGGAGCTTAGGAGGGGCGTCTACGGAGTCTATTGGACTGACTGTCTTCATGGCATCGTTGTAAGCAAACCCCTGGCATGGCCATGGTGGTGTGTCCTCTGTAACACTTGATAACAGGCACAGGACCACTGAAAGTTACTAACATCGTCAGTGCCTTTCTGATCCACTGGAGGTCAGGCTTCATAACTGAGCATCTTAACATTTGGCAATAGACTCTTTTCCATCAAAAATTATCTGGGCAACGACAACACTGTCAGGATTGGCTATGTCCCTGTGGTTGCCTGCTGGCTGGTATTTCATATCCACCTGCAGCACTAGGCAGCCTTTCCCTGCCCACTAATCCTGGGAACTACAACACTGAACACTGCGTCTCCGGATGCTGCTGGCAAGTCCCTCCTGTCCTCAGATCATCTGAGCAACTCTTTATGGGCCAACCTTTTCCTCCCTTGATGTCAGAGAGGAGGCAGGCTTGGTGCTACTGTGGTTGAACCTTGGAAGGGTCAGTCAAGCTGTCAGTCCTGTGCCGACCAAGCTGCTGCTGCTGCTGTGACTGGTGTTGCTGGTGATGTGCCGGAGGGAAAGCGCTCTGCTGCAGTGGAAATGCCGCCGAGAGGATGAGCTGAGCGGAAGGATTTCCGTGGAGCAACCTAGAAGTCTACAAAGCAAACAAGGATTATATGCCATTGCTTTCTCTCAGCAGTGCCTCTTCCACCTACCATCCACTAGGTTCCCACTGCACACGGGGACAAGGGCCTGGTGGGCCACATGGCTGCCCTAAGTTTTGTTTTTTCATCAAAGATTCAATGTTTGGAAATTCTTAGGTGGCTTTTCCTCTTCCTGTTAGTATGTGTGACAAAATTTAATTTTTAAAGAGATCTGAGCTGGAGATTTTTATGGTATGCAAAGCAACAAACCACACATTCTTTAGTGTACATGTCTAATAGCGCCAACTTGAAACCGTGCAAGTTAGCATAGCTATGAAAATGAAACGAGGTCAAATGGGCATGGCATGTGCTGCCCCAAGCCTGCGTGGCTGCCCAGAGCAGCGGCGTAACAAGTGGCTGAGGACACAGGCTCTGAGCAAGGCTGGTTCACCAGAGTTCGAACTTGGGCCAACTACTTTCTTCTCCGGGCCTGCTTCTTCATTTAAAAATATAACGATAGTAACAGTGCCTACCCTACTGGGTTTTTATGAAGATTAAAATGAGTTTAAACATATAAAGTCCTCAGAACAATGCTGAGCACCTAGCATGGGTCTTAATATTAATTGCTTAGGGAAACACCGTAGTAATGAAGAAAAGGCTATGCAGTCTTGAGTCGTATATGTAGCAGGAGGTATATAACAAAGCAAAACCAAGGCACAGGAACTGTAGTAAGAGCCTGATTTGCATTTTACTCTGCCAGTTATTAGCTTTACAACCTTCGTTAAGTCTCAAACTCTATGGGCCTAAGCTTCTTTTATCTAATTTCTACTCTGGTATGTTGTTCCTAAATTTACAGGCCTAGGACACAAAGGAAATCTGCTTTAAAAAGCAGGATTTTAGAATGACTGTTACTTCCCACTACTGAAAATACCACTTGATGAAAAATCCCTAATTTTGAAATGGAATTGTGTGAGTGATTTTTGTATCTGGGTGGGGACGCACACGCACAAGCACACGCACACGCACACGCACACGGAGAAGGGCAGATCTTTAAACCTGAGTGAATGTTACGCTTAGTCCCAGACTTCAAGAGTTTTTACTTCTTAGAAAAAGTTACCGGCTAGCAGAAGAATCCAAGATATTTATGGATAGATCTCTCCATGAGTCTTATAGGACTATAAAAGAGATGCCTTTAGACAAAAGTGTTATGTAAGTAAAAACAAACAAAAAAAAA